AAGGTGTTAACATGTGTACGCTGCTCTGCCAGACACACCGGCTGAATCTGTCGGTAGTGTGCCACACACGCAGGTACGGAGCACTGTAAGCATCGACTTAGAGAAGACCTCGTAAACCGTAGGATCATAAAGGGAACATAATACGTATTTTAAGACGAGACATTCCTGTTTCAAAGGAACATAGAAAATGTCTTTCGCTACTTATATATAAATATAAGAGACGAAACTGGTTATTTTCTAAAAAATGACAGTCAGCAGTGCTGAATTAATATGAATAAGGAGAGGAAAGAGTGGAGGGTAAATACATTAATTAAATATAATAAGGCTACGTCGACAGCGAGGCGTCGCAAAATGTTTAGTCCCTTCTACTACTTTGCTCTATTTCCAATTCAGTACTACTCCTCCGGAAACCGTCAATCCCGGTGGAGTTTAAGACGTTCCCCTTCCCTAGGCGTAGAAGTTTTCATTAATTACTCGAGCCGGTTAATTACAGAATTCCTTTCCGGTGTATATCGGGCTCGGAGCATCTCCGGCGCGCAGTAACCGGGTCTGCCGTGATTTTCACTCGGACTATTTTTCCCGTGCGCTGACACCATTAAACACCGTGGAAATAAATCAGCCCGGTCCGTAAATTTCCTCGGTTGATCGTGCTCTTTTTGCCCAGCGGTAAGTATTAAAACGGGACTCCACATTTTTTCTCCGAGGAACGCCAGTTCTTTTTCCTCTCGTCATGAGGTTCACGGAAGCGAGCGAGACACAGTGTCGCACCGCGCCCCGTGAAGAACGATTTCAACGCCGAGATTTCAAAATTCCTTCGCGCTTCAACCACTCGAGTAATACACGCGGACGAAGAGCGAAAGTGTCTCTCCGCCCTCCGTGAATGATCGTCGTTTTCACCGTAAAGGCAGCCTCGCGTTCTCGCGACGAACACCAGCGGGATAGGCAGTTGGTCGGCCGAGGACCGGGGAAGAAACGGACGAGAGAACGTTAAACACCGAGACGACCACTCTGGAAATCATCGTGCAGTGAGAAAGTGGTTAGAAGAGGTCAAGGGGTACTCGGAGCTGCTTGTTCCAGTTAAGTCAAACTGCTGACTGTACCGGGTGACGATCCGACAGACGCTTCTGTATACCAAAATTTCTCCGGTTTTCTGTCATCATTCTAGGCTGCGGGCTTCAGGTTTCTCGAATTTCTTTCCTTTGTCGTCTGATCGACGAGAAAGGCAAAAACGCGCCGTGCAAGAAGCACAAACGTGTACCGCTATCACGCTTTCGGTTAGCGAATGTTAATAGAAGGCAAGTGCAGGTCAAGAAGCACTTCTCTGAAGAACAGAGATACAACTTGCCGCACGGACGAAACCACCCCTCGGATCCTGTTTCCTTATCCGACCGCTAAGACACGAACTTACTTCCGCGGCGAGTATCCGATAATTCCTTGACCAACGATTCGTGCCACGCCTTGCTCCAGCGCGCAGAAATTAGTGGCGCAATCTCGCACTTAGCAATTTCGCTAAACGTTCCGGTGTTTTGTGTAGCGAGCAAATTCGATTCTTATTGTTTTAAAACGTGACTCGACTCCAACAGTTTTATGGACTGCCGTTCGGCATTTTTCACCGATGGACAAATTAATTTCCTCGAGGTGTCCGACAGCAGTTGAAATGAACGCAGAAATCACAATTGATTCAACTAATTTATGAAAAGCGTCATTGAGATGGATGAATCGATGCTGCGGCGGAAAACGACTAAGGAAGAGAGAGAGAAAAAAGAGGTATAGAGGAAACTAAGGAAGAACGGAGAAGAATAGAAGAGGGAGGAAGAGAGAGAGAAAAGAGAAGAATAGGTGACAAGACTGAGCTCATTATTCTCCGGTAGAGACAGTCAGCGAAATTCCTAGGGAACAGTTTCGCGTATTGTGCGACCACAATGCGAGCCGACACCCAACGCGTAAAGCCATTATTATTATTGGCGTTGCTGTTGTTCCATTTTGTTCTATTATGCCGCCGGTCGGACTTGAAGAGCCGTAAAACGTGGGAGTGAAAGGAGATTCGTGACCAAACTGCGGATAAATTCTGGCGTAAAGCTAAAGCAGCGCGTGACTCTCTTAACGATAATTCGAAAAGCGTCGCTTGTTTTAAAAGCGCGCTCGCGAATTATTTGCCACTTTAAGGTCGATTTATATAATCCGTTCAAACACGGAACGATTCCGTTCAGAAAAAACATATTATTGTTATTAAATACAGATGCAGGTGTTTATATTTAGCATCGCGTTTCAGATTTTCATCCGATATTCTCATAAAGCATGTTTTGACTGAAACCATACGAGACTGGAGTTGGAACGTGACTGAAAATACAATATAAATATATTTTAGACAGAATCTTGCTAGCGGACGAACGATTTTCAAACGATGACCAATTAATCTTCTGCCGTTATCGAACGTGAACCGATAATATAAATCGTAAATATATTCGCAATGTTTCATCATCTGGATGAGTAATATAAATCGGAGTTTAATCGCGGACGAAAATCTTCGTTTGAATCTTCGAACTCCGAGTCGTGCACTTTATTTAGGTCGCCCATTCGACCGGCAAATGAATGGCTGAAATATTCAAAGGTAATCCCCACGCGACTCCACCTGTGTTTACTATTAACATGAGAGTATTTATCACGATCCTGGTTCAGGCCCGATCGGCCTACGAAAATGTATGACAGCATGGTCATTTATATTCTGCATCACCTAAACGCTGTTGGCAGTTCAGTCTTCCTATCCAACGAAGACAGATGCGTCTTTGTGCGGACGAAATTTAATTTCCAAGAGTCATTAGACCCGGGGTTATTGCCACGGACTACCGTAACTACTCTGCAACATTGCCCTACACCGGATTATAAATAAAGTGATCCTATCAGCCAAGGGAATCGATCAATCAATGTGAGTACCGATCAAAGAATTATATTTTTCAATCGGGAAAAAAAAGGCATCAAACAATTTAGCTCCGATCAATATGATATTAAAAGCAGAAAAAAGCAACGCAAGCTGAATTTTATAATTTCACTGTAAAGCGGATTTACTGTGTAGAACACGCGGAATGTCTTTTCTTCATAACGGAAATCAACTAAAACACAAGAGATGGTAATATGTCAAAGGAGCGACATAGAATAGTAAGAGCATATGTGTATTTACGTCTATTACGTCGCTAACTCGGAACGTCTCTGCTTTGCCTCGCTTCGAATTCGTCGTTGCACAGAGGAATTATTCGCTTATTAAGTTGTACGCCTTTGGTGCTCGCGCCTCGCACATTTTCGATAGAAACGGCATTCAATTCGCGAACACGCGCGGACCCTCCTACACTCGACTACGCGAATTCGATTATCTTTCATCTACCAGCCGGTGAATTGCTGGCGCATGCAAAGCGATGCGAGGCGATTCGAAAATCAACCGGATCACCGATTATACGAAACGAGTGATGGAGGACTCGATGCGACATCAAGCACTCATCGATGCATCGTTTAATGGAACGATTGTGAAACGCGGTGTAGGCTTTGGTCCAGGGAAATTCGATGGAAAATATCGTCGCGTCGACTCGAAATTAATCGCGGCTGCAATATCTACCTCATCAACCTTTCCCTGTTCAAAGTGCGGATACAAAGCTTGCAATTTTTTCTTTGCAGTTCACGATAATTACAGGATATTACCGTAGGGGTTGCGTATTTGCGTTCTAAATCAAGTAAACCATGCGCATAATTTTCAAACGATAAAACGACCAAAACAATTTTTCTGCAAATAGTTAACGGTGAGATTAGTTAGAATTCATTTGGATCAAGTTGTTCGTTTGGGTCTTTCGAATAAAACGCACGGATGTGCCAAATCCGGAAAACCGGACCTCCTATCGAATATACATAGAAGCGTGAAACTACACCGTTCGGCTAGAAATATAAATGTCCGGAGTAGGTTAGTCATAAATCAAACGCATCGCGATATTGGCGTTCGCTTAATAAATGACTCTAGAGTCTAGAGTGTGGAAAAAGGGAAACATATCTCGTTCGCCTGTGTTTCCAGCATCATCCGCGATACGCTATAAATGATCTACGAGAAAAATCAGTTATCGTGAATGCAGCTCGTTCTTCGGGTTGTCGTTGAAATATTTGATATCGTGTCAAAATATAACATTTTCTGCCCAGTCAGTTACGATCGTTTGATCTCTAACATCCAATAAATTCATCCCAAAAATAAGCAATTTTGATACGAACCTATTGAAAACGAACACTAGTAAAAGTCGTCGATTACCGGTGTAGGAGTACGGAAATTTCGACGCCAAATGTTGGTAGAGAAAGTTTTTTCGACGTTGCTGAGCGTCAAAAGTTCTTCAAAAGGAAAAAAGCGGCCACTGAATGGTAAAGTAGTTCACGGACCGCGAGAAAACTCGTTTGAAACTCGTAAAATGATTTCCAGTCCAAGTTTGATACAATTTGCATGTGCAATATATTTCAACGACATCCTCCCATTTTTATTACAGTACGGAGCACACAATACCGTACAGTCTAGTCGGTCTCGTGTTACGTGTCGACTTCCGCTTTTAATTGCAAGTACAACTGGCCGTCGCGTCGCCCCGTAATTTCTAGGACGACCGATTTTCTAACGATTAACTACATTACACGTAATTACCGGTGGACAAGGTTCAAAAGGTGCTTTACTGTGCTAACCAGTGGCCAGAGCCAGAGAATGCGCTAACTCTCGAGGGTACAATCGACAAAAGCGGTTCTCGCGGAATTCGCTACTCCATCTCGCAGAACTAGCCGACAATTAACTGTGTGCATGAACGCGTTCCGTTTAAAAATCGATGACCAATTCGGCCGTGCCACGAAACTAATGATGAATCTGCGACCGATTGGTAAGCGAATACGGCTGAAGATCAAGCGTCGATATCTGGTAGGATTCGAGGAACAGCAACCGACGATCGAGTTCTGCGAGTTGTTACGGCGCAAAATGTTATACATTTTCTTACCAAGTTATACGCGTCGGGACCTCCGCACCGCGCACCATTATCCTACTAGTCGTCGCCGAACCATCTATCCCACGGTAACATGTTTCTAGGGAAACGGTGAACGCGAAAGTTACACGCCAAGGACGATTCGTCACTCGTCCCAAAATCCTCCGCGATTCGCGACACCGTTTTCTCTTCAATTTCGATCGACCGTTTTGTCGCAAATGCCTGTTCACGATTAAACGTTTGAACGCGATCGGTTACAATACTTAAGAAGCGAAATACAACGAGGAAAACACGGATAAAACGACACACCTCTGTGCCAGCGGCAGCAGAGTTGATGCGGACCGCGGAAGGGAGGCTGCGAAACTGAGATGAAACCACGGCGCAACCCCGTGCGCGCGCGCACCAAACCACCCCCGGAATACACGGAAGCAGCCCGGCCAACCGAACACTACCCTCTTGTCCCTCCCTACTTACTTCTCTCCAGGACTACCACGACGAGGACGACGATGCTCCCGCTTCCATTTTTCCTCTTTACCGTTCCTTTGTCCATCTGCCTCTCCTTTCGAGTTTCCTCTTGCTGTCCGACCGCGGACCATCCCCTGTACGATTCAAAGTTTCGACGCTTTCATGGATCATGACTCTTTCTTTTATCTTAGGTTCTATTAATTGATGTATCCTTGTGTGCACCCACCGCGATCGCATGCTATATCATTTCTTTGTACTACTGCCGTGTTTTTGATTGATCGACTCGTTGATTGGGAACTTCTATAGAGACGGCAAATGACCGGAATAAGTGAGTTTTAATCGAGAAGGTCGTGTGGTTTTAGCAAGACCATTTGTTAATCTCCGTGAATAATTGTTTGATTAAGTCTAATCGAGAAAATCTGTTGAAATAGGAATTATGTCGGTGTAAGTAAAACATTCACCGGATGAGAAAATGAAAACTTAATTACAATTTAATTCACGAGACTTGCATACATGGGATGGTCAACTGTGGACGAGCAAAGAGGGAATGATACAACAAAAAGTGGAGGCTTTTCTGGCCAGAGAAATTCATTCGATTAGAGTCCGTACGGACGACACTCAATGACTCATCGATAGAACTCGAACAATGTTGCTCATTTCGGCGACTTTAATTGGCAATTACGAAGCCATTGGCAAACCCCGAGCTTTTTTAAATTTGGTTAATCGAATCGCATGCTCGTAGAGAGTCGCTGCCTACTTCCAATTACCCTCGATTCTCGCGTTTCACGAATTTGCGTTAAATCGTCGACGAACCAATGGCGAACTCGTACATCGCTCCGAAAGTTCGGCCGGCATGCACAGTTTGGTTTACGACGCGCGCAGTTTTACCATTGCTATTTTCGGGATGTGCAAATTGTAGAAATTTATCAACTCCTCACGGTAACTCGTGAATGCGAATTAACGCTTTACAGATTGTAAACATAGAAAAATATAACGCTGGAATATCAATAAATAAACTTGAAAATATAAACAGCAAAAATAGAACGTTTGCATTAAAACAAAAATCCACGAACAGAATATTTCATTTTATGTCATTCTGGTTGGTATGGGACGGTGCGCAATCAAATAATCTTCCCTCGATAAGTATCGTTACATCTTTTCGCGATTTGACGGGCGCACCGAACTTTGACCGTTAGATAGAAATCAAGGAGGAGACTGGATACATAGGAAGGCTTCTCCGAGAGGAAACCTTACCGGAGAACCGTACCGTAAGATCCTTAATAAGAATGTACGGTCACGGAATAGCCGTAGGTAGTCAAGATTGATGAAAACACAGACAGAGAATAGTTGGAGCTTCTCAGAAAATTTTACTTTCGTCGAATTTGCCAAAATCAGTCGACGTTAAACCCGCATCGGTCGAGATCCAAGCGTCCTGTGGTTTTCATTAATTGACGAAGAATCACAAGGAGACGTGGGTAGACTTGAACCAAAGCAGTCGTTGTTTTCGGACGTATATAGATTGAAAAAGACAGCTGAACGAGTGCGCTCACTGTAAGGATTAAACTCCCATCGAATTTCAGGGACTAGTCGGTCTGAACAAACGGGCAAGCCTGATATCGTCTGCTTCCGCTAAATATCTTCCAAGAGAAACATTTATTTAGCGGTTTCGAAAGCGCGCAACGCCGTAGCGTAGAAACTTGAACACGTCGGCCAAGTTTCAGAATCGATGAGTACGTATATGTATTTTAAACGTGACACGGGGTAGGGGTGGTGTTCCGTTCGAGGAAGCACATCGGGCACTTTCCTCCTCGAACGGACAATTTTCACACGAATTCGCCTGGAGATAAAAAATTCATTTGCCACGAATCATTCTCGCGACGTCGCCACGCGGTTTCTTCCAATACTTTCGTTTGTTTCCAAGGATCCTGACAGGGCGTTGCCGTAATTACACAGCCTCCTATTCAGAGTCGCCTCGAGCGTATCCCAAGATGGCAATTCGTCTCCATTCTTCGACTCGGAGTCGTCCAACTTTCGTCGAGCACCTACCGTGCTCCACGTAGGCGACTCCTCCCGGCTGATCATCTCGTCGCTGAATTTATTTTTCTCGATATTACGATCCGCGCGCAAGCTGGACCGGACCGGCGAACTTCCTGAAATTGAAAAATCGATCGGCATATTGTTTGCACGCCGTTCCCAGCTTGCAGGTTCGTTCACGAAAAGCGAAATTCTCCGTCCTCCGAGTAAATTGTTGCCACGCATTAAACAATCGTACGATGGTACGAGGACAAATGAAAATGTATGTGGACAACCGTAATAAAGTAATTGGCTCGGGGACGGTGACCCGGATATTTTTGACACGGAAATAAAATCATTTTAACGCTAGATAAGTAAAACGACCTTTGATAGCTTCCCATATCGGTGCGCGATATTTTTTCAGAGTGATAGTCCCAGCGATGGAATCGATCGAGGAACTCCACGAGGACACAGAGTGTGTGTCCCAAATGTTACTTGGACGTTGCCTCATCAACGCGTTGCGTCTTAAAGTATCGTGCATCTCTTGCATCTCCTTTTCGAGCTGTTTCTGATGCTCCGCGATGATTCGCCGTTCACGGACTCCTGGCGATAATCGTAGAGGTGAATCCAAAAGGTCTGGTTCCGATCTGAGGCGAATAATAGTGAACCCATTATGCGTCCACGTCGAATCGAAAGAAACCGTGCTCGTTAAATCTTTAAAGGCGAAAATCTACCTAAGAATAAAGCTTCATCGTACCTCAGTCTGTAAATTTCCTTCGGTGAACTTGGGTCCGTCAAGATAGCTTTTCTTGAGCAACGAGAAGACTCCCTAGCCACGCGCTGCACCATGTCCAACATAAATGTTTGTTCTTCTTGCGGCAAAAGAGCAGCGACCTCTTGTAAAATCTATAAAATTCGAAGCTTCGCGATTCATAATCCTGGACATGTGGAGAACTTGGAAAACGAGTTTAAGGAGTATCTTGTACTTCTTTGAAAAGTATTCACGAGGGCTTGGGAAGTATTTAAAAAAATGTTCCCTATATCTTTGGTAAAACCTTCGACATATGTTGAAGACGTACGTTGAAGATCCTGTTTATTCAAGTGTTATGGTTACTGCGCACAGGATCTGGTTCGGCGGCAGGCAGGATTAAACTTAGTTCAGAAGCGCGAAACGCATTTTCCATAAGCATAAGTTGGGAGTGGGGAGGTGAATCGAGCTGTCGCTCTTTAAGTAGAAAGTTAGTTGGCACATGGAGGATGGAGACGAGGAGCAGGAGCCAAGAGCTCCTCCCGGCGAGAAGAGAACGCGAGGGCGCTTCGGGAAAGTAAATACGTGTCCACTTTTTCCCTTTTTATTCGCCTTCAGTGGCTCTGGAAATACATACGTCCGTAGTGCCAGAAACACGAACGAACTCGTCGTTTTGTTCCGGCTTCGAAACAGTTTCGTGGGTCGAGTTCGAAATGATTCCGTTACGAAATCGTCGGGAATTATGAAAAATCGCTGACGCCCCTGGGACAATCTAATCGAAAGTACTTTGCAAACAAGCTCGCGATCCACGAGGGGAATTACCGTCGAGCTTCGTACGGTTTGATTGGTACGACAAACAGAATTAAAATTTCTTGTACGCGATCGATTAAATTCTTATAAGAAATTCACTACGCTTGAGGAGACCTCGCTTTCGAATCGACGAACGGGAACGTCGAATCGTCCCGGAGAATAATTTGTTTCTGAAAAACAAAACTAAGCTCAAGATCGATTCTTGTCGAAACGATACCGCATTCCCAAACGGTTTTCCGTCACGGCGGAGCACGTGCGACCGGAAATTAACTGAAATGGAAGCGTTTCCATTCGCGTTCTCTACGCTGTGAATAAACAAAGCGAAAAATACTGTAACGTTGTTTCATTTTCTTCAATTGTCCTTTCGAGATAACAAAGTTAACTTGCGGGGGAACTCTTGAAACGTTTAAGTTCCATCCACTTAGGAAAGTGACCGCGAATTTCACAGTGAAGTTTCCTTGACGGAACTCACTATGTACATCGGTGATAACACCAGGAAACGCCCGAGATGAAACAACATTCAAACGTATCGAAGTAAAATTATTGTGAAACGTAGAAATGAAGATCTCTTTTTAGGAAAGTCTGCCACTTGATGAAAGATGCGATCCTCCGGGAGTTTGAAAAGTTTTGTGGACACTAAGTTCCGGTGTCTCGTGGGAGACGCGGACAAGAAAAGAAGCGAGCATCGTTTATTTTGTTCAAGAGAATGCCTCCGGGTCTCGATGGCTCAAACGGCGGGATCGTTAATCGGGTAAGTAGAAACCGCTTCAGAATCTCTATAGGACGTAGGAGAATTCTGTTCCAACTGCGCCATTCTCCGTACGCGACGAGAGAATCGGACAAGATTTTATTGATCTTACCAGAAGTCTCATAAATCTGGCCATTTCCGAACCAGAACATGTCCGTTAGATTGTTGAAACGATTTATCCTCAGGACGTTTATTTGCAATCGAAATTGCTCAATTTTTCAAGTATCGGTAAAAAAAGTCTATATCGAATTTGACGACATAAAAAACAGAGAAAGTGAGCTTTGATTCTTGTTCCAATAATAGTTGAATCCCTATAGATGATGCTACTTCATCCGAAGAAAAGCGGATCGGACAATTTCGCCGTGAATGGCGTTAGTCGAGGGTACGTTCGGCAAAGAATTTTGCCGCTTTACAGATATCGACCACGGAGGGGTTGGACGTTAGTCCAACCATTTCGCGAAAACTCGCTGACGCCTATTAGGTCTGATTTAACTCAGTTCCTCCAGATCCTCACGAATACGAGACAGTGATACGTTTATAGTTCCCCAGAGGCCAGCTAAGAAAAGTCCCTTTGATCTTGAGGTGAAATCTCATCGAGAAAGTACCTTATCTGCACGGACTTGGGCGCAAAAGGAACGATATCCCTGACAGGCAGTAAAAAAGTTTCGGTCTTCGTAAGTGCAGGATCGTGTCCTGTCATTTGCATGTCCCTCATTCATCCGTTTCTAAGGGAATGAAGTGCCTTCCGTGTAATTATCCCCCGAGTTAGTTCAAAGTCCCTGCGGGATCTCAGAAAAAATTAAACTGTCGAAGACGTATTAAATCCTCTAGTTAATCAGCTAGTATAGGGTGTTCTAGAAAAACTGTTCGAGCCGAAAGGGAATAATTTTGGAAGTATTTCTGAAACAACAATTTCCTTTAGCAAAATGCAAAATGAAACATGGCTTTTGAATTATTAACGAAAAACACTGACCAATGGAAGGGCACGTGTAGGGCCTTCACAATATTTGACCAAATAACTAAACACAGGAATGCTACTTAAAAACGATGTTCGAGCCAAGTGTTCGGTCCATCCCGCTCTCATTAGTCAATAATTTTCGTTAATAATTAAAAAACCATGCTTCACTTTGCATTTTGCTAAAAAAAAAATCGTTATTCAGAAACACTTCCAAAATTATCCCCCTTCAGCTCCAACACTTTCTCTGGAACAATCTGTATATTAAAAGAATGCTCGATTCATAACTATACTCCGATCTAACTTCAATCGAAACTTCTATCCGCGTTCTTTCTCTTTGTATCACCTTCATCCACTTTGCAATACTCATCCTTATATTTCATCTCTAATACATGAAAAAGACGAATTATCTCCAAACGGATATTTTTATATTATGATCATTTCGTTTGTGCTGTCAAAGAAGACATTAAGATTTCGTTAATAATGTTGGAACTGATTCACTTATTCTTTCTTCATTCCGTACTAATGCAATTCGTACAATTGATAAATACTAGTATTTACAATTGTGTACAACTGATATTAGTATTATAGCGTAGTTGCGATACCGCAAAGCAATCCGAACGACAATAGCTTTCACGGAACTACCAATATCGTCTGCGAGTACATCGTTCCCATCGCTACCTGTACGAACATCGTTGTGGTAACAGCCTTCTTGTCGTTATTACAGTAACACGATCCTTTGAAGTAACGTCGTTGCCCGATTTTATGATCTCTCCGTAAACTGAGGTTTCACTTCGCAGTTTCTCGCCGCCGGCTTTCCCGAAACATTAAACCGGATTTCAAACTCGCCGCTCGAAAATGCAAGAAAAACGGAAGTCGTTTTGAGTGCAAACGCTGAAAAACGGTTGTGGCTGACGAAAAAAAAGGAGAAGCAAGTTTTTTTTACCCTTTGATTACGCTCATTTTAAATTTAATTCCGTGCCTGGACGTCCTGGGCGAACGCGTTTTTATGTACCCTCTCTACGCTCGTTACCTCGAAATTATTTTTCACGTTAATTAATTACTGTTGCGTATCCAATTCGTCAAGACAGACGTTATTTGATTAAAATTAAAAGTGTATTAGCTCAGAGGTCAAAGTAATAATTACGTGTAAACGCACAGTTCGAGGATTCATAGAAAAAAATTAATCAAACAATTAGTAATATTTGTCTTTTTCCAGAAGAGTGAAAATCATATTCATCATTTATAATTTCTGTTCAATAAATTCCATTAAAACACGAAGTTGTTTCTGTCATGAACTCCCAATTCGTGAATCATGATTAGATACTTATATTGTACAAAATACTATAAGAAGATTGATTTAATGCACACGTTCCATTAACTTTTATTTGCAGCCAATTAAAACTCAATTTATATTCGTCAGAGGATTCGTGAGACCGGAAACAAGAGTATACGATACACAGACAGAGCCAGTCTCTTAACGGCGACGTGTGAGCGACGTTTAATTCGAGTTGTCAAGGAAGAAGTCTCCTGGACGGAGATAAACGTTCCTCTGTCATGCCTACGAGAATTCGCGATGAGACGTGTCCGCGGTGCATTCGTCAACGAGGGTTGTAACGCCTTGTTTCGATTGTATAGACACCACGAATCAAGAGGTGTTCTCGACGCCGGTAAGAATAATTCTTTGAATGGACAAGATTCAACAATAACGCCTTAATATATTTTCTTAAAACAAGATTGTAAATGATTACAAATGGTTTGTGTATATGTGGGATCCCAGAAAAATAGACAATCATTATGTATGCTAAAAGTCTTTCTCGTATTCCTTCTGCTCGAGGAGTGTCTAATTGTAAGTCTTCCTCGGAGAGCGTTATTAGATTGTGGGCGTGCATGTCTGACGTCCAATTAGTTTGCTTTTCCCCGTTTTCCCCAAGTATTCATCGGTGACTCTGATCATTTCGTTACACGTACTTCGTTCTGTAGAGATGGAAGAATTTTCCAATCTACAGTGCATGTGGGATTCAGATTAACGTGAGAATTCCGACGCTTGCTAAGGTCAGGATTAAAAAATTACACATTAGACCTGACCGGTATGAACGCGTCAGACTATCGATTAGGATTAGATCAGTCTGAGATTCTATAGTCATATGCATCACCGATGGTCTCGATTCTTACAACAGGCGAAAATTAAACAGTTCGAACGTCGCCCTAAATCTCTTTTCCGACAATTTTTAAGACAACGAAATTGACTCGGGAATAAGAACTTAATGGCTTTCAACCTGTTCTCGACTAATTCATATGCACACATACATTATAAGATTACTTATTCTTTCATGACTGATTGTGAAATTTTTATCTTGGCTCAATCCTTTACTGTCTTCACTACGTTTCGATCAATTCGCTGAAATAAGTGTTCCACCGCCGTAGGAATACATAAGAATGATAAAGGTAGGAGAGCCCTGACCATAACACGATTATCAGCGTCGGAATTGAGTCCACTACGAGTCGATTACGTAACCGGAGGATAATGGGCCGCGTGTTAAGGAAGGAAGGAATCACCCGGCGAAACGAAATTCGTAGTTCCTTTGAGATCTGCGTTGATATTATTGTCATAAAATCTGGCGTCAGTTTGTCGATTCCGACGAACTGACGCGTCGCGTCGTCCCTGGCGAATGCCCTCGCAAAATTACTGTCCTGGAATTGCCTCTATGCGCCGGAAATCCGCGCTCGTCTAATCTAATGAATCTGCGCGAACTGTGTGTAATTAAGCTGCCTCGCGTCTATAGCGCACAGAATGAAAGCCGGGCCGACTGGAAACTCCGTGTCGAGACGGCAAACAGCCTAGGACGCGAAGGACCGGGAGCGTAAGTTGCACCACGGAAATTACTCCGACAAATAATCGACTATCGAACCTGGTAACGTAGCCACGCTATGACGTACTGTTTGAAACGTGCGAAATTGTCGCCGGTCCCTGACTTACGTACTGCTTTAGGACATGCCTTAAATAGATCCCTTTGTCATTCTACACGAACGCGTTAAGATTTAATCAAAAATTTACCTTGTCCTTCAAAGACATAGAAGCGATAATGTCTTCGACATTTTCCGATCGCTATAATAATTTGTTCAAAAGTTCAAACTGTATTTGAAATCTTTACTGCGTTTAAATAAAATGGAATTACGTCCGAGAAATGAAATGGAACAAATGTGTCCAGTACAAAGAAAAATACGGGCACAGAAGGGAGTTCGTGCGGCAGAAAGAAAAGAAAAATCGAAAGTGTTGGAAAAAATGCGAAAGAGGTCGAAACGAAAGTATCATGAAAAAATCTCGAAACTCACCCTGAACTTGCCCAAGGAGATCATGGCAGTAATCAAATCGCCGGGGCCACGGTTTCTAGATCGCGATCTGCTTATCGACGCTACATACGTCAAAGGGCTGGCGTCCCTCAGTTCCATGTGTCCTGCAACCCCTAACGAAAATATTGATTTTGCCCCACTGCGTTCTGCGTATACGTGACTTACGTAAACGCTTTTGTGATCCAGTGACCAACCAACGCGCCGGTACGTGGACCAGAAATTTGCCTACGTCACCGAACAGCGACGTTGATTTAAAACGCGGATCCTGAACCGTTCTTTCCGAGCAGCTTCCACGGTTGATCTATACCCGGCATTTCCGACTCGAATTTTACGCGCCCGCCTATGTAGGTGTAGGTAGTAGGTATGATATTCTCTAGCGACGTCAGCGTAAATCTTTGTCTCTTCCGCGCTTTTAACTTCGCTCGACGGACACCGTCACGCTTCAAATGACTTCAATTTTTAATGTCAGCCACGTTTATTTTAGCGATCTCCGTTGAATGCAGAGCTACCTGAGTGAAACTATTTTACGCGATGACCCGGATCTAACGATAACGCTACTATAATTCTTTTCTCCAATAGTGGAATGTAATCCAGTTAGGAATTCAATAGGAACCGGAGACGGTCAGAAGAAATAATATCGGGCCGAAAAAACATGCGCTTACCAAAGCAATAAGTGAACGCGAATTTCTGGTAGATTCTTTTTTTGGCGAGTAACAATAGCCGGATGAATTGGAGAAATTTTTTCGCGAAATTCGTCAGTAACAGTTTTTGTGATCACCAACACAGCTGTTATAAGTACTAAAAATAATTTATTTCACTCGATATCACTAGTAATGAGAATTTGAAACTAATGAACCTATTTTCGAGAAAACTAAGCTGAAACGTTAACGAATATTAATCAATTAGATAAAATTTTTTTGTACCTCTATTTCCGCCCGAAGTCTCTTGCAACCTCGTAAGAAAATCGTATAATTCGCTGGCCCTGGAATTTATTCGTTTTCTTCTGGCAATAGTGTTAACGGTTCTAGCTTTGCTCCACGTAGAGAACGAGCTTAATCCTTTATTTGCCGCGAACGTTAAGTTGTATTTGATTTCTCTGTCCCCAAGAAAGAAAATCAATCGCAGGCAGTTCCCGGAACGTTCGATCATCCTGGTCATATTTTCTGCCCAACACCAACCCTGAGATAGACGGTCCACTATCCCGTTGGCTGGTGACACTTCTTGAGTTATCACAGATTTACAGAACGTGGACAAAGATTGCATCTCGGAAATGTAAATCTGTTGCCTCTTCTTCCAAGACGTCGCGCACCAACCGTGCTCGTGAAGGCTGTTGAAAAGATTGTTCAAATACGGGCGTAAAATCGGCTCGAGAACCTTCCGATCGTACTCCATACCTTCAAGAATGAAACACTCTTAAACTTGAACAAGCAGCCGCGATATTTTACAAGCGGATATTTCCCTACCGAAGTACAACCATTGTAAAAGCATTTTAGTCATTATTGGAAAAGCTTCCAAGTCCGTGTTGACGGTTTCCCTGTCTCTCCTGATAACGTCAATCAAAAGTCCGACCGAATAATCGAACTGACTGGTGGTGTTACAATGCTCCCTCTTCTTCGATTCCCTGCGACGATCGCGCACTCGCGTTCTGCGATTTACCATCGCGTAAATTTGGTCCCGGGCCTGCGTTAAGACTAATCTCAACAGGAATACGAGGTTCTCTAC